AGTAGAGAGGCTTGCATGAAAGGGTTGAAGTAATTGAAGAACGCTAAAATAGAATAGAAGAGGATGAATTGATGTTACGGAAGTGGATGAGTAAAAGAGAGATAAAAACTTAGCTCTTTGACAACAACTAATCACCACTCCCCAACGCCTGCTCTCCTCTTCCAACATTGTCGTTGCGTTAAGAGACCTCATCGGATGAAATGAAACACACACACACACACATACACACACACAGGGGAGGCCGCCGATTAAGGAGGCCGGGGGCGGAGTAGGGGTGGGGGTTTAAGTGACGCGTTGTGGCAATGATCTCACAGCGTAACCGATGCAGCTACTGCCTACTCAGAAGCGTGGACTGGCTAATCCAAGTTGGAGAAAAAGCCAAGTATACCATCGCGAAATCACATCCTGCTTATCCTCTGGACAGCCAAATGGTAGAGGGATGAGTGGGAGAGAAATCACTTTCAACGATCAGTGGGTGGATAAAGTGGAAATTGTAGTACCGAGGGTTGTTTGGTGAACGTATAATGAAGGAATGAAAGAGGAAATGACAAACCAGAGACGGATGGATTAAGAAGGACGAATCAATTTATGACAAATGAATTGCCGAAATGCAAAGGAATGAGTGGCTCAAGGACATAGTGTTGGACCCGGAACTATTCACCTGAATAAATGGATGGATGGATGAATGGAAGATGATGAAAAAAGTAGGAAGTGGATAAATGAAGAAATGGAGACTGCACAAAGACGTAGGAAACATCAGGCCTCAAGTCTAAAACGGCAGGGCTAATCAAACGGCTTCTAAAATCTTATTCTGTGGACAGAACTTTTTCCAGATGAGGCCATTTTTCGAAGCCCAACTTGCAGCCAATACTAGGATACTCGAATTACATCTCATTGACTAAGCATTTCAGGCATGTTCCACCAGTAGATAATATTTCGGAATTCAATCGACCAATTAGACTCTTATTTGGGTTATGATAGAAGCCAAATATTCTTCAGCCCAAAAAACAAAGTGCCAAAAAAAGAAGTAAAATAGAAAAAAATCAACCAGTTAAATTCAAATTGACCCACGGTAGGAAATAGGACAACTGCAGAAAAGGCATCTAGCAGAGGAATACGCCTGACCGCCTTTACGAGGACATCACAAAAAAATAAAAATGAAAATACGGCGTTTAGTGTACAGGAGACTACACGAAGCGCAACTCACCGGCACGTCACGAGGCCGCTTGCACATCTACTCAAAACCGCCTCCAGTGGGGTGCTGCTTCACGCCACTGGCAACAAGTATCGCTTCCACAACAGCTGAGCCGGACCAGACGCAGTTCAGCCCAGCCCAGCTTAACCCAGCGCAGAGAAAATGAAGAGTTGAATGAAGGGTGCGACGAAGTGTCTCCTACAACAATTGCTTGAATAAGTCAACATCTTCCAAGGGGATGACAAGCATATCTACAAGCCGAAAGCGTATATAGCTGACATGTCAACAATAAATAGTAGTGGTAAGGAGGACCAAGGTGATGACGAATCGGCAGAAGAGGAGAAGAACTGGCTGAAGGCTGGGAATAACTAAAAACATGTGCGTCCCACTTGAGACGTGAAGTAGAAGAGTAATTGGACGACACGCCAAGTCCTTCCTTGCAGTATTAACAGTACTAACATGTGGTAAGTAGCATTAGGGGAGGAATGTCGTGCCAAGGCGAAAAGAGAAAAGTTGATGTCTTGACAGCGATGTGGTGGTGCTGGAGGCGGAGGTGGACAACTGGAGGAGACATTGCGAGATGCCAGCCAACTGCGGAGGTAGTAGTAATTGAGGTGGTGTTAGGGAAAATGAGAACTGGGGGTTCCCGCAGGAACGAGGTTGAATAAGTGAAGTTGCTGAAACGCGAAGTTGGTGGTCAATCGCCAGGAGTAATGCACAGCGAAACGTATTTAACCACACCGAATTATGAAAAGTAGAAAGGGCACAAAGGGTACAAGCACGTTACATTAAATGCTTCATCATTGGTATGAGAAAAAGACATGACAAGTGATAAATTGA